GAGACTGACAAGAACCAGACTAAAATCAGACTGTCCAAAAAGTGAGAAGTGTGTAATAAGTTTTATACTTCAGACTAGTTCGTTTTAAAACAATAACAAATACAGTGGAAGGTAGTCCATGTACCAGTGCAAAACTGGAAATCAATACTAGATGAGGAGCAGTAAGCTAATTCATTTAAAAAAAAAACGCAAACAAAAAACAACATAGTAAAAACAGCTGAGTTTCCTTCTTTTGTGCACCTTTGTTAGACTGTTATTTCTATCTTGTTTAATTTCATGTTTTATAGGATTAATCTTTAGTGTAGCTCAGAAAATGCACCTGACCACCGTACCGATGAATCAAAAAAAAACCCGCAGAAGATCGTGGTCCTACACCCCAACTCCAAACAAGTGAAAAGTAAGACCAAAGCGTTACAGACACTAGCCAAATGAGAAAGATCCCAAAAGGACAATGAAAATATCTAATATTTAGTTTGTAATAAAACCATGAAGAAAAGAAAAAGGGGGGATTGTAAGAAATAAATAAGGCGGTTTTATTACAAGCAGGAGTTTACTCATGTCAAGATGCCTGGAAGCTGTATTGTTTGGGGGGTTGGAGAGTCATTTAGTAGTCGGGTACTGATAGTCTGCTTGCAGTTACTTGTTGCTGTTGCCTATAGTTGCAATATAGAGGCGAGTCGGGAAGCCTGTAAGACAATGGGACCAGCCAGGGCTCATTGCCGAGGGACCACGCGGCCGGGACACGGAAACAACCTGGTAGGTCAGTTAAGACAACCAATGGACTGGCAAAGGGAAGCGTGAGCCGGCCCTGAGAGACCCAATCGAATCCAAGAAGAGGGGCTATATCACCTTCTAAAGAAGAAAAGGAGCGGGGCTCGCCATGGGAGGAGCGAGGGAGTGGTTATGTAAATCAAGAAACCTTAAAAGGACTTGTCCTTCCCATTCTCGGTGTGCTTGGACTTGGCCACGAGGTCGATGCATCCAACGCGTTGTAGTTAAAGTTCTTTGTTTCACTTTATTTGGCTGTCTTCCAAATTTTAATTACAGATATTTCTCACACCATTGTGGGCAAAACAGACTCAAAGTGGGGAAAGTCTTAAAAACACCTTCCCCCACCCCTCCTTCCTTCCAAGTTCTATCTCCTCCCCCCCAGCAGCGCAGGGAGACAGGGAATGGGGCTTACGGTCAGTTGTTGTTTCTTACACTACTGAGAGAGGAGTCCTTCCCCTGCTCCCCGTGGGGTCCCTCTGACGGGAGACAGTCCTTCACGAACTTCTCCAGCGTCAATCCATCTGTAGTGGGTTGACCCTGGCCAGATGCCAGATACCCACTAAAGCCACTCTCTCACTCTCCCTCTGCACCTGGACAGAGGAGAGAGAAATAAAAACAACTAAGGATTCATGAGATAACAGCTGGGAGAGGTCACTTACTGATTACCTTCAGGGGCAAAACAGACTCAAAGTGGGGACAGTACTTAAATTTATTGCTAACAGGATAAGAGCCAAAGGGTGAAAAATAAAACAGTCTTAAAAACACCTTCCCCCACCCCTCCTTCCTTCCAAGTTCTATCTCCTCCCCCCCAGCCGTGCAGGGAGTTGTTGTTTCTGCCGCTGCTCAGGGAGAGGAGTCCT